AGTTTTTCTGACTTTATGCACGCAGTGAGAGCAGTATGAAATTTGAACATTAAGACTTTGCCCACCGTTTAAGGAACAGGACCATCCCTCCTCACCTGTTTCCTTGGATCCCACTTGTTCTTCTATTTATTTTCTTTTTATTTCTCCACAGTTTTCCTAATATTAAATATGCATGCAAAGTAAGGTTCATCCCTGCAGGATCTCATTTAAATAAAAAGAAGCTGAGTTGTGTCTAAGCAACATAGAGCACTACACTTCCTATTGAGTACCTGAGTTATATGCAGATGTCCCTTTAAGATGCCACAAGGCAAAAGGCGCACTTACAGTAGTCCCAAAAGAGAAATACCTTCATGCAGGATTACGATATTTTAGTAATGTTTCCACATGGCTCTTGTCTTCTTTATGATAACCTTAGATTCCTCACTTACACTAGAGGTCCTGTCTTATACAGATTGAGCCCTACAGCCACATACTACCTTCTAATACTGACCCTCCATTCTTACACTCAAAGATGCCCTTGATACTAAACAATAATGGGAACTAACCTCTTGGGTATCTGTTTCTTCTTGAAAGCAAATCTAGAGTCCTGGGTGTCATGTCAGTCCTTCTGGGCCCTGCTGGTTATCTCAGCAATGTCAGCTGAGATAACAATTTCATATTATCATTAAACTAGTAGTTAATTAAAAAAAGAGAGGAAAGACAGAGAAGTGTACTAGGTATGGCTAATGCAAGCCAAGTATGATGAAATACATACATGAAAACATTATAATAAAATTCATTTTGCACACTAAAAAATAAAATTTTAAAAGATTAATGGTTAAATGTAACAAAGGCACAAAATGAAGACTTGACATTACTGTTCATTGCAAGTAGTATGATACTTTCTAGAACACTGGTAAGAGTGTTCACAGTGTAACCAATTACATAAAACAGATGGGAGACCTGCCCTTTCCTCAATGGAGACAGAAGAGGAAGGAATTGGGGAGCAGGGAAAGAGGAGAGGGAATGGGAGGGGAGGATGGGGATACTGTGGTCTGGATGTAAAATAAATAGATGAATAAAAAAAACACCTGGGGAAGGCTGCACATGAGTAAGACAAAGGCAGTATCTGAAATACACCTCTGCCTTTCTCTCAATGTATCAATACAATTAGAACTGCTCATGAATTAAATATGAGAAATCCCTTTTGCAGGTCTCTTTTCATTATCTGATTGTATCAGACATCAAGCCTCATTTTGTGCTACTACATTGTCTAACACCAAACTCCATTTTTAGCAGAATGGAGTTTGTCCCAGCCTGTGGCTTAGGACGAGAGAACATAGTAACATTGCTGTCTGAGAGAAAGACCATTAAACTCAAATAGAAATTAAGGTTAATGAAGGACCTTGCATTAGCACTTGCTGACATTGCCATGGAAAGCACCCCCTGGCCACACTTGTCATTTAAGGAGCTCCTAGGGCTTGGAATTCTTACTGAAACCAGATGGACTCTAAAAAAAGAAACTTCCATCTGCTGCCTACAGCAGAGCAAGAAGCACAACAAATAAACTGTACAAGTGTCTAGAGTCAGTCAAGACACTCGATACAAAGTGGTAGGCGCAGTAAATAAACAAGTAAATAAACAAGTGGGCTCAGTAACAAATTAACTGAGGTCTTTTAAAATTTATTAGCTAAGAAATGTGTGGCTTCTGGGGTTCCTGCTGTAGGAGTTATTTGCTAACTGCAACAGCTGTGTCCTAGCCAGCCTGGGTGTAATTAGCAGCTTATATAGGAGAGTGTTTACAGAGCTGGCCCACAGCAGACCTGTGAATCATCTCAGGATGCTCACCACCAGGCTCTGCAACCCAAGGTCAGCATCATGCTGGGCTCCTAGTCCTTGATGAAGAACTGATTACAAAGCATTTGTGAGCTTCAAGCAGATTTGTCAGTTTATAGCTTAGAAGGTCTCACCAGGCTGAAATCAAAATGTTAAAAGGCTGTGTTCAGCATCTGGACAATTTGCCTTCCATCCTCAAGGCTAGCTGTTGCATCACTCTAGCCTCTTTTGTCATGGCCATAGCTCCTCTGACTCAGATATCCCTGGCGTCTCTCTTTCACTTGTAAAGACCCCTACGACTGCACTAGATTGGCTGGGAAGATCAGAGCTCATCTTACTATCTTAAAACCAGCTCATTGGCAACCATAATTCTCTGTGTACCATTAATGCAGCCTTGCTGTACAACATACTTAGCATGCTTATGCTAAGTATGACTATGGTTCCATGTTTTAGGCCACAGACATATGGACATATGGAGTACAGCATAGTTCTGCTGACCACTCCTTCACATGGCATATGAGCCCCCTCCATCATTGAGAACCAACTGTCTCTCCCATCCTATCTCATTCTACCTATGATGTATTAGATATGTGGATTGCTACATAACTAGTTACACTAAAACTCACCTCAGACATCTATTAGCCCATAAGTTCTTGTAGTTAGAAATGCAGGCAGAACTTAACTGGTCTTCTGGCTTAGGGTCTATCACAAAGCTACAGTGGGGCTGCCTTCATCTCAAAGCTCATCATGTTCACTCATGTGGATGCTAACGGTATTCCTCCCTGTCTCTCGGTGCTGGTTGGAGCCTTCTCTCACTCCCTTACCATGTGAGCTTTCTCCATAAGGTAGCACACAACTGGGCAGGTGGCTTCCTCAAAGAAACCAGCAAGAAGACCCACAGAGCAAAGTCAAGCAAGAAAAATCAGACCTTGTAACCTCAATCCATCACTCCTGCTGTGTGCATCCCCAAGAACAGAGACCACCCTGCACAACATCCACAGGAACATAGAACGACGTGTGCAGCAGAAGGTGGACAATAGGGCCATGACAGATGCTGTCCAGTGTATCCCAATAGATACCCCATGCTCTCACCTCACAAAACCACAAATATTCCCTGAAAACATGAAAAGGACTTTAGAGCCTGTGCCTTGTATACCTTCATTAACTCATACATTCAAGCCACAAGTGCTGGGGATACATCTGTGAGAAAAGAGACAAAGCTCCTATTCCTTGGAGCAGGCATTCTAGCAGACAAAACAGAATAAACAACACATGGTATGCAAGAGAGTGATGAGTCACAGCAGGTAAGGGGTGTGGTTGGTGTTGGGTGAGGCTGTCATATGTGGACTGGACTGAAAGGCCCCTCTCAAGTCTTCCCTTTCTGCAGATATGTGACAGCAGTGAGGAGCCATGAGGATATTTGGAAGAGTATCCTAGGCAAGAAGGGATATAAAGGACAAAGGTAACTGAAGTTTTCAAGAAGTTCTATACAAGAGATCTACACATATGCCACAGAATAGGCGAGAGAAGTGGTTAGCAGTGTGATTATATAGGAAGCCAGCACCTTGCAGAGCCTCATGAGTGATTAGCATACTGACTTCATTCAATACTGCAGTGACTTAAAACTTAGGAAATAATCAGCCCCTTGGAGTCTCAAGATGCTAATTCCAGTTCTGTGAGTAGGGGAGCTCACCTTACTTTACAGTGTGACTGTATCCGTGGGGGGCGGGGAAAGCCAGCATGTTCGATTTGATTCACTGAGGGTACATTTTCTAATTACCTTAATGTGGTAGTTTGAAAGAAAATGGCACCCAAAGGGACTGGCACTATTAAGAGGAGGTGTGGCTTTGTTGGAGTAGGTATGGCCCTCTTGGAGGAAGTGTGTCATTGTGGTGGTGGGCTTTTGAGGTCTCATACATGCTCATGCCACACCCAATGTCTCAGACCACTTCCTATTGCCTGATCAAGATGTAGAACTCTCAGCTACCTCTCCAGTACCATGGCTGGTGGCATGCTACCATGTCCCACCATTATAATAAACTAAACCTCTGAACTGTAAGACACCCAATTAAGTGGTTTTTCTTTACAAGAGTTGCCGTGGTTATAGTATCTCTTCACAGCAATAGAAACCCTAACTAAAACATTTAAAAAACAGTACTGGAGTTGTAGAGATGGCACAAGGTTAAGAGCACTGGTTCCAAAATCATCAGTACCAGAGTTCAGATGCCAGCATGCACATAATAAGATGTATTCTCACAAATGCCCAATGGGAAGAGAGAAGGAAGGATCACTGGGGCTGGCTGGCTTCCAACCTAGCAGAGAAAACTCAAACCCAAAGTTCAGGAAAACATCCCTGTCACAAAGGAAAAAGATGAAAAATTATGGAGAATGGCACCTAATACCCTCTCCTTGCCTCTGTGTACACACACACATACATGTATGTACAAACATATTTACATGCCTACATGTGTACAATACTCACATACATGCATAAATTAATTTAATATTTTAAAAATAAAAGGTGTTCTATGTGAAAGCTACAGGTAGCAGAGTTTACTTTTATCCCTGGGTAGGAGAAACAAAATTAAACAAAACAATTTCCATGAAATTGAAAACCACTCCTTATCTAAAAATCAAACTATTTCAAGTAATCTGGACTGGAACTCAGGTGCAGGTTGACTCAATTGCGTGTAGTTATTCATATGTGCCTGAAGTAAGATCTCCACCAAAAGAGCCTAAAAAGGGTGCCCTGCACAATGAAATGAGCTAGTGCCTACCAAATACCTAAACCTTCATGAAATCATTGAAGGCAAACATCCAGGGGCTACTAGCCTAGGAGAAGTTCCTTCTATACTCACATATTAGTCAAATTTCCTACCTGTAATTACTCAGGAATTTGTTAAGAGATACTCATTGTCTTTGCTGCATTACCCAACTCTCGGGTTCTTATATCATTCTGCTCCTTAGAAGTCACCTTTACACACCATGGAGGGCCTATACAGTAAGTAAATTCAGATAAGCAAATGGGAATGAGTTATATCAAGGTAGGAGGGGTCAGCATAGATATTTAAGAGTGGCTGTGTCTGGAGCAGACTGTTTTACAAAAATAAGAGAGAGGCACACCTCATTAGTAAATACTAGGTGTTAGTGGAAAGGGAGACGTGGACAGCACAAGAATGCGTGGCATGGCTTGGATTACCCTCTGCCTTCTATATGTTTTCTGGGCTATGGCAGGAACCAGCACCAGAGCCCAAAGCTCTTGCTGTGAGTATGATGATTGTTGCCCTGGCAAAGAAGCAATCTCCCTCCAGAGAGGCAGAGATCTCAGGCACAGTTCTACTGACGAGAAAGAGGTAGAACAGCAATCGCTATAGGAGCTCTGAAGTGCTGGGCACAGGTCAGGATGGAGACACACTCATCTCTCATGACTTCATAGCATAATTCTTTGAGAGTCAAATCAATGCACTTTCTAGAGAGAGAGAGTCAATTATGATTACAGGAATGTTGGTTGCTGTAACAAGATAGATACATAGTAGTAATAAAGACCACATGCGAGGCTTGATTATTTGCTGAGAAGATTATGTCTCAAATCATCAATATTTTTCATGAAAGAGTAGAGGGAAATGGATGCAAAAGAAATCAGTGACTTCTAGGAAATGATTAGAAATCACGTTAAATACTTCTGAGCTGTACTGCTTAAAGCTAGCACATGAAAAACTCACTTTAAAGACAGATTGGTGGTGAAGATGGAAGGACTGATGAGCCTCTAAAGAAACATGTTGATATTTTCTGCATTTCTCTTCTATTACTTGATCCTCAAACCTCCCAAGCCTTCTGAGGGCTGGGGGGGGGGGGGGGGGGCACGGGGGGGGGGGTATGGCAAGTGGCTTTCCTTTCTTTTCTCAGCTGTCCCCCCAGAAGAGCAGCCCTGGATCGATGGCCTACAAGTTCTCATGGAGACCTCAGTGGCCAAGTCAAACTTCGTAAACCCCAGCATCCTCATTGCCATGAACCTGGCCGGCCCCTACAATCTGGAGGCCCAGAAGCTCCTGACTAACAAGCTCATAGCCAGTGACAATGCAGGTTAGACACTGGAGCCCCTCCCTGAAGCCTGAATCTTCCACATACAGGCTACCCCGGACCCCATGTCTATGCCATCACCCACCCCAATTCATTCATCTTTCTCTACACAGCAGCAAAACAGTTGTAACTAAACATATGTGACATCAGAATAGTCAGGAAAGAGGGTGGGGATGCACAGGGAGCTCCAGGCTCACTGCAGAAAGCAAGGGCTTCTGGTTCTGAATCTGCTGCTTAAGAACAAGTCACTGGATGCCCCTCACTCACCTTGCCCTCTCAGGACAAAAACAATTACAATAGTGACAGTAACAACAAAGTCTAGGGTCTATTTACTTCACGTGAATTTCCTTGAGGTTCTAGATGCATAACCAAGTTTACTTTCTACCTGTAAGTTTCCACAGACTTTCATGGGTTTTCTTGTTTCTTTTTTAAACAGACAGCAGGGATTCTTTTCTTAGCATATATTAGTTATATGAAATCATTAATTTCATTATACAGTCATCGAGTCATATAGACAACACTAACTAAATTCAATGTTTCCTCAAAGATTTATTTCCACATTTCTTTCTTCAGAAAAAAAAAAGATAATTTAAAATGATAGGAGTGCATCACTGAGAAATGCAAACCCTGGATTTGGGGCTCTGGGTATAGGCTGGGAGAGGCTGTGTGTGTGTGTGCTGACATACAGCTGGAACCCCAGCACTCTGTGAGCTCGGACCAGCCAGGGATAGAGCGCATCTCAAAAATTAAAAGGGGAAGGTGATGAGCAGCAGCTGAGAGGCGGGCTGATAGGGTGGCTCCTGGGGTAAAGGTGCTTGTTACGCAGGCTTCACCATCTGAGCTTGAGCCCCAGACATTAGAAGGAATAACTGGCTCCACAGAGATGCCTTTTGACCTCCATATGTGTGTGTGGCTTACACACACACACACACACACACACACACAGAGAGAGAGAGAGAGA